ATTAGCTTTTTACAAGCTCTCCAATATGACCGCCGTCCTTCATCTTCCCGACTTTGAGCTTCTTCAGTTAAGAAGTTGCCTGCTGCCCAGCTCCGCTCCCCTCCCTCTTGATGTTTTTGAGGCACTCTGTGCCAAAGGCTGCTAACGCCCAGCAGAGAGACTGTTAGAATAAGGCTGAGGCAATTGTTTAGACTGAATTTTTAATATGAGAAAGAGCTGAAGTCAGCATCAGTTTCCATATCATTGTTTTATGTCAGGACATGAGTAGCAGCTATTACTATAGGGATTTAAAAACTCCTACAAGAGCAAGATATTTTTATTTTTTTCAGTTTTGCTTCAACAACAATTTAAGGCGACATCTCCACACTATTAAAAATCCCAGTGCAAAAAGGTATAAATTGGGTGTAGTTCTCTGAAACACTGTGATAACTGGAGAGTTGCTGTAAAACTTCAGAGAGATTTGTTCCTCCTTTTCCTATTTCCACATTTTAATAAGTGATCATTTATATTAAGATTGTCAGAGGCTTTTGGATAGCTTTTGATATTAACAATAGGTTTTTTGTCCTTGGCGCTCTGACACTTTCATTAGTTTTCATTCTTCCTGTATTTTATAGGCAATAAAGTATCATTCTTATACAAGTACTTTGTCATTCAAGTTCCAACTAAAATCACGTCCTTGTCAAAATACTTACCCTGTCTAGCTAGCTAGCTATTGTGATGTTTCTGAAGTGATTATCACCACCCCTAAAGGGAACAACATGTAACAAAACAATCTCAGCTTGCCCTTCCTGCACACATTACTTGTTGGAATCGCTTAGCATTTTTTCCCCCTCTCTTCTCATCTGGTCATGGGAAAAGAGATCAGTTCATGATTAAGAGAAGGCTCAAGTAGTGACAATGTAGGTCTTTACACTTTGGAACAAGAAGAGCTTTTTAACATGTATCAACTTTGAAAGTAAAAATGCTATCATAAGATAAAAAATGCCAATCATACTCAAGATATTCCTTCTCTTTACCCTTCCTTCTTCAGACAAAATTGCTGGATGTAGTCTCAAACTGAACTTTTGTTGAATGTACTATGCAGCCTAGTAATCCACAGGAAAACACACAAAAAAATAGAAGGATAAGTGTGCTGTCTGATATGGTTTGATCTGCGGTGAAGACATGCATAGCCAATATCTTTTTTTTATTGAAACTGCTGCACATAAACTCTAGGATCTAAATTCCTCTTAAGTAACCTCTGAGTCTGAGTTCCTTAAAATAGAACAAGACAGTTTTAAAGGATTACGGACTTTCTAAGAGGGCCATCATCACTGCCCCTTTGCTATGAATTTTTTCCTCACAGCTTCCAAAAGAGTCAGTCTGGGATCCCTAAATAGAATATAATAGTATGAGAAGGCTGTGGGCTTACTAAGATGACCTACACTGAGCTAGCGAACCTAAACCTCAGATCTTCCATCACATGTATTACAGCCGTATAGCCTATGGTGCAGCCTTTTGCTCTCCCGTGTAGTAGTGAGCAGTGATCGTCTCTGAAGAAGCCTGCATATCATATGTAGCATTTTATCATTACTGCAGAGTGGTGGAAATGTTTGTAGAGTAAAAACTCACCCAGTCCAGCTTAAAACTCTGCTAGGTGTAGCGAGCCCCACCTCCGTGCAGACAGGGGGTCTCCGTAGGGTGCGGTATGTATTTTTTCTTCATATTTCTTACACAAATAGCAGCATTTGGCCTTCCATTTTGTAACTATGGAAAACTCTTGTCCACAGCGCTCACAAGAAATTGTTCCACCTACTGCATCCCATTTTTATGTAACTTTTGCTTTTATGTTTTCCTGCTCTTCGTTACACTGGTCTGTGTTCTGTCCATTCAAGTGCTCCTACAGGACGTACCTATATGAGCAGTTTTAGAAGCAGTACCTCCATAAGTTAACTGTGGCAGCTCAAACTGTGTTAAAAGTGGAAGTGAAGATGGAGAGAGAACTCAATGGCATTGTCCCCATCTGTAGCATCTTTGTCCAAATTAGTCAGCTGAAGGATTAAAATTGAGGAGATTGTGGATTAGAGAAGGAGTAAAAAAAGGATATTTTAGTTCAGGAAGTCAATCAAAGGAATTTATAAATTCAAATATTTTATCTGTTATCTTTGAAATTAACAACTCGTGTATTTGTTTCAGTCTAGGATTGTCTTAACCCAAAATAAAATGTTTTTCTTTCAGTTTATTGATCTTGTTATCCTTTTATTGTCTCTTTTTTTTCCATTTATGTCAAATTTAAAATTATTCATATCATAATAAAGTGAAAAATCCCAATAGTTCATCATCTTCATCTGTCCTGCATCACCAAATAGGAGCATGCTCCTTTTGTACTCGCACGACAGAGCAGCTGCATGGCAGCACCCGACCGCCACTTTGGCGTCCTGACTGTGGAGAAGGGGCACAGTGCAGTAACCACTGGGAAGACAGAACTGAAGCTTTGCACATGAAACCTTTGACAAATATGATGGGTTTTTTTAATTTATATTTGATTTACTCCCATTTTTAAAATCTAACCTTTAATTCCTCTGAGGCAATGTACCCACCTTCATTGATGGCTATTTTGAAGATAACTTATTTTCATAAGCAGTGCAGTGCAGCACATGGAGAGGCAGTTGTTCAGATGCTAGACCATCATACCCTAAATCAAGCCACATTTAAAATATTTTTCAGTTACAGAATGAAAAATTATGCTTATAAAAGCAAGCTGAGGTTGGTTTTCCAGCGCTTGTAAGACTGTGTCTGGAGTCCTGTGAGTAGATAAAGACTACAGAGTGTTTTCAGCTGGAAAAAGCGTTTTGGCTCCATTCTGCTCCCTGGTTCATTTGGAAAGTTTGGCTAATGATGCTAGGGTACTAATTTTCAGACAATGATATCTAAATAACTACCTTATGCGGCTTAAACATGAGAATTCACGCTGGCCCTTGGGACACAATGGTTCTTCA